AGTTATGTTGCATGGACATAAATAATATATTTACAGTTTTAATATTTAACATTTGTCCTTTAAACATGTATCTATTTAATTTTAGTTCAATTCATTAAAAAATGTTTTCATCCCTTTTATTTTATACTAATTAGTGTGACCTAATTCTAAATTGTCAACAGACACACAAATGAATTTAGCACACCAAACATATATTTGGAATCGCCTTTATTTAACAATAATAATTTGACATTTTGTTGCCACTGGGTCCAAAATACAGCCTAACAAATTAACCCTAACAGACACAGGATGCTGCTTGGCTCCACAGTTGTAAGCTGCCTTTATGAAGTCCAATACAACAGGCCTGCAGTTCTTCTTTTTGGAACAGCATAACCTATAACACATGTGCTGCTATCAACGTTTTATTTCTAATATTAAGGAGGGAATGCAAATATATTAACAAACATCTCAAATTGTGTTGCAGCATTATTACCCAACAAAAAGCACCTTGATGCAGCATAAAAAACTAAATATTCCTGATTCATTAATACAGCAGGCTTGCAGTTCTCAGTTTTTCTGTAACAGCTTCAAAGTCAAACCATAACAGTACATATGCTACTGTCAACTTATGACCGATAAATAACATGAGATGCAAACATTACAGCTCTTTTTTTTTTTAAGAAAAAAATATTCATTCAGTTGTAAACATTTTTGGTGCTGCATGGTTTCTAAATTCACTTTTTCAGTTACTCCAACCAGGGCTCCCACTTCTTTTTATAAAAGACATTCAAATTCCTTACCTTGGGGCTTTTCCATGGACAAGCTGGTGAATTAGTAAAATTAATACCAACATCTTATCTTTACATCCTTCACATCATTTCACATCATTCATCGACTCTCCAAAATTTCTGAAAGCAGCAGCCTTTGGAAACCAGCTTCCTCTCTAGGAGTCCTTCTTAAAAACATTCTCAGTTTTAGTGGAGTTTGACCGAGTAAGAGTTACTTTTCTTCTTGTGTTTATGGTATTTTATTTGGTTGGAAAGAAACATGGTTAGTTATTAGTCTAATAAATGATACCAACATAAAAACAAATAGATAAATGTGTTTTTATTGCATTAATCTTTTGCAGGGGCAAAGTAGATGTCAGATAAGGAAGCTCTTCTCCTGTTACAGTCCGCAGTGACTGGGCTGCACTTTGGAAAACAGTCCAAAGGGTTTGGGTGAGACAAATATTTAGGGTAAAGTTAATCTGCAGAGAAACGAACCGATCTGTCCTCGACTTCCATCCACGATGATCTTTGATGCACAACATTAAAATTGGTTTGCAAAGGACAGCCCAGAAGAAGGGTTACACATCTCTTGACCGCACAACAGGACAAAAATCCAAGACTGCAAGTTTCCCCATTTCTGTTTAGATAAAATAGTTGTGTCTGATTCTGTCACTTTGTTTATATATGTTTTCTACGGCGTCAGTTGACATAAAACGTTTAATTTCAGTCACTTATTCTAATGAGAACAAGTACAGTGAGAGGTTAGCGGGACATCAGCCCCACTCTATACGTCAGATCATCTGTAAAACTATGACTGAAAGAGACCTGATGGAAATAAAACCATTGAGTTTGCAGATAAAAACGGATAAAATGTTTAAATCTTTATGTGTCAGGTGATTTATCCAACAGGACTTCCCTTTTAGACCATCCCGTCTGTTAACATCATGTTAAAAAGTGGATTACCCCTCCTCTAAATGGAGGCTTTATTTTGTTTTTAATTAAATATTTGAGGTGAATGGACTGATCTCCAATACAGGATATAAAACCATCCCGATATGAAATGACCGGCCAGATTTATACATGGCTGCTGGATGCTCATCTCCATTCGTTCCCCTAGAGTTTATTTTTTCCGTCCTTCTTTTGCATTTTCTCTTCAGTTCTTATCATCATGAATTGCTGTAAAGAGTTATTGATTGGACTTTATCTTCTTTTTGCACATTTCACCTGCAGGATGGAACAAATTGTCATGTGGACTCTGAGGCCCTTATTGATCTGAAAACCATCTCCAGGAAGCTTTGGGACTGAATTCATTGGGGCAGGCATGGATTTCTGATGGCCGCTCCGGTGTGAGCGTATGCTAATTGAATGAGCGAGCTGATCTGTTATTGCAATGAAGTTACGTTGGACAGCATGCCTTCTGGTTAGTCCAAGCCTGCCAGTAGAGCAGGACAGGAAGCTAATGCAACAATACGCGTACTGTCTGTGGAGGCACGGTCTGAAAGGCACGGCTGGACTGGATGCATGTGTTTTATTAGAAGGTTTTTCAGACTAAAATCTTCCCATAGTTGCTAAAATCTTCCCAGATTAGTTTAAAATGTTGTGTTATTGTTTTAATGAATATTCTGGGAATCTATAAGAACTATTTGCATTCCAGTTTGGCTGTCTTTAATGAAGCCTTCATCAATTCCTGTCTGGGAAAGGCCTCCCTGAAGGGCATGACAGCAAACACGCTGCCGTCCCGCCACGGGGACAGAATTAGGACAAGCGCGTGGGCGAGTGACAAGAAGGGTGGTTAATCATCAGTGTGGCCTGAAAGGAGCGACGCAGGCTGAGTGGGCAGGAGGGCTGCAGGAACAGACCTAAATGAGAAGAAGATTAAACGACCCTCATCTTCCTGCCTGAGTGCCGAAGGTACAGCAGGACGCAGAGGTCATGGGGTCAAAAGTTTGACATTAAGGGGGGGGGTGGATTTGGTTTGCTGAGAAGCTCTGAAGATACTCTCATCTCACCCTCAGTTTAATTATGTGCGATCAAGGAAACTTTATTTTTTTCCATTTGCAATCCCCGCTTTTACGTGTAGAAGATGGAACCTCTAAGCTTTTATTTTCACAGTTTGAACCATCTGACACCTCATTTGTTAAAAGAAAAGTCGCTCATATTCAGAATCCAAA